AGTTTTTCTGCTTCTTTTCTCTTTCTTCTCTCCTCCTCCTTCCATTTTCTTCTTTCTTCTTCCCTTTGTCTTTTTCTTTCCAATTCTCTCCTCCTCCTCTCCTCTCTCTTTTCCTCTCTGAGCCTCTACATATGTCAAAAACAAAGAAACAGTGTATCTCCAAACTAGAAAACATCCCTTTAAGCCCAACAGGGTACTTTGCTACAAGGTGATGGAGTATTTCATTAGAAAATAATTGGCCTCAAAACTCCCCCTATTATAAAACCACTGTTTTCTCTATAGTACTATTGTGAACCCGGGCACATTATTACAGCATCGATGTTTGGAAGCATCGCACAAGTCAAGATTTACAGGAGGAAAAGACACTGGACTCAGCTTTTATCATTCTAATTTCAGTGAGATCTGTTTCATCAGTGATTTTCTGAATTGCCAGATGTTGAAATAAGATTATGTGCTAGGAGAAAGATGATCTACAAGGACCTCAGCCACAGCTGCATTAAAACTCAAGCATTTCAGTGAGATCTGGTTTGGCAGTGCCACAGAGATGTCCAGCATGGTGCTAGCTGTGACCAGAATGCACAGAAAACATCACTGTTATTACAAAGGCCAGTGTTCTTATAGTTTAACATCTGTCAACGACCCACGAGCAAGGAAATTGGATCAAAAGCTGCTTCTTCAAAAAGAAGAGCAGTAACACATCAGTAAGCACCCTGCAATATATGCACTCATGCTCTAAACGAGCAAATTATTGTATCTGCAAGCAACAAGAAGATTCTGGGCAGAGTCTTACCTGCTTATTTTTCAAGAAGTTCAGTAAGGGAGTAGTCTTTTTAGCTAGAAAATATATGAAAGCTAGTGTAAACAATGTTTCATCTGGTACTGCAATACCTGTAACAAATTCTACATGACACCAAGAGGCCTTATGGACTATGCAGTCTGCCTTCTCTTCCATCAGCAATACAGCAGTGAAACAAGTATTCCAACCCTACTGCACAGCAATCATTACAATTCTAAAATTCTGTTTAGGACACTCATAAGTTTTCCAGCATACCTGTATGTAAAGAGACATTTACCCTGCCTTATCTGTTTCTCAGCTTTCCTCACTGATACCTGTAGCATGCTCCAGAAGGATCATTCTAGTCCATTTTACTCAAGCACAACAGAACATCACCACACCTCACCAAAACGCAGCCACTCCACAGCCTTGTCCAGCTAAAGCATCTGATTAGCAGCCCAAAACCCAAAGATTACCATATAAAACTTAAATTTAGATCATGAAAGTAAAAAAAAAAAAAAAAAAAGCACACTGAATGTATCAGCCTAAAGGTTTAACAACACCAGGTGAACACAAAACACAGCCTCCTCAATGCTGAGAAATCACAGCTTAAAGATACACCACATACTTTGCTTGGTGCTTTAGGAAAAGGTAACTTAGCATGAAGATTTCCATACCAATCAGCTCTTTGTTTCTTGCCTCTATTTCCTCCAGTAAGGTTTCAGGAGTGGAGGTTAACTTCTCATCATCTGCACTGTAACTTTCCAAAAACTTCTTGTATTCTGGATCTACAGAGAGAGGAAAAAAAAATGTATTGGAGCATGAAAAGAACCCACTTGGTCACTGCAGGAAGTCTGGAATAAACAAGTGAAGTTGCAGTGTTTACATGATGTCTTTTCGTGAACTGTCCACCCTCAGAGAACTCGCTCTAAATATGACAGCTATACTTAACAGATCCGCAGCCAGTAAACCAGCAGTAATAAGGCTTGTGTGTAATTCTATCAATACACAAAATACTGCATTCAAACTACTTTTAGGACTTTCAAGTCTCTAGGCATGCAAAACAAACTAGCCAGCTGTTATACCATCTTCAATTGTCCCCGTTTTGGCATCCTTTTTCTTGCTCTTCTTCTTTGCAGCTTTCTGGAAAGGAGCAAACTCTACTATGGCAGCATATTCCTGACCTTTTAAGAGAGGAGAGGAAAAACTGCATTAAGACAGAAACGAAACAGGCATTAAACAGAGCACATCATGCATGTCCAGAACAGAAAGATGAGCCGCGCCAGGAACACGCAATACTAGAAGGGACTAATGGAACAACATAAAACACAAATGATTTTCAAAGCTATTTAATTAAATAACGCCTTTGGAGAGAACAAAACTCCTGAAACAAATTGTCTTGCAACGTTAACAGAATACCAGATTCACAGACCCTGAACAAGAGGGAAACGCCAGATGCCCACAGCTGCCAGCTCAGCCACCTCCCTTACACCACACTGCCCCCATCCTGCAGGCCACATCTGTGCTGTGCTGGCAGCAGGGAACATTTCAGCTTAAGGCGACCAAGGCAAATCTCACTTTTTGACAAAATGCAGTACAATGTAACATCCACACACTGCAAACAGGCTTTGGAGTTTTATTTTCCAACAGAGATGCTGCATTTGTGGCAGCATTAACCTAGCACTATTCTTTGGCATGGTAAATACAGTGAGTGAGCCTTTACATTGCAAAGGAGCATTCTTAGAAAATATGCAGGCATTATGAGAACTCCATTATGCACTCCCTAAATAAAAGGTTTTCACAGGCAGAGCTGCACATCACATAAAACACCCAGATGGATTAAAAGATCCATAGATTTGAAACAAAGCTGAGTGGGAAGTTCTCAGTCTACCAAAGCCCAGAGGACGACTCCTGTCACAGCTTCCACTGAACGTGAGATTTTAAGGTCTGACAGTGAGAGAGCAGCAAGGATTGGTGTTACCCAACGTAAGCAGATTTTTTGTTTTTGTTTTTAATGTGAAAGTAAAGGATGTGAGATGTATTGAATATTTAAGGCACAGTTAGAACAGAGCTAAGTAGCACTCAAATTCTTGGAGGAGCATCCCAAGAACAGCACTTGTCTGCTTTCCAGAGACACTGATCTTGCGGGAAACAACTCCACAATTTGGGTTGCAGGGAAAAAACTGCTCCCTGTACCAAACCAAGGCAGCTCACTCTGATGCGAGACAGGCCTTGAGTAGTATTACAGAGTGATCAAAAGTATGTCATCGTTGGAGCAGGGAGAGGCAGAACCAAGTGACACCACCGACCTCAGCCTCCACCCAGTGGGAATGACAACACCCAGTGCTCTGCCCAGCCCTCCTGCAACGAGGGCACGAGCGTCAGCCACGCTGACACCAACCTTGCCTCTATAACAGCTCCAGCACCACCTGAGCTGAGCGCACCCACATTTGACATGTGATACCTAAAATTAACCTAACTTACTTCCCACCGAGCGTAAAGTGCTGTTGTTATTTGGATATCTTCTACCACGTTCACGATGCTGCCAACAGGCAGAAACAGCCCGCATGCCGCCCTCCAGCCCCCGGCCCAGCCCCGGGGCCACCTGCCTTTGTGATCCACGAAGACATAGCCATCGAAGCGGTCTCGGAACAGCACGATGTCCTCCTGGTTCCTGAAGTTGATGTAGGCGCGGGAGAAGACGTGCGGGTACAGGCTGCGGGGAGAGGCAGTGAGAGGCGGGCGGGCGGGACGCGAGGCGGGGAGCGGCGGGCGGGGCCCTACCTGGAGTCGTTGGCGAAGAACTCGAAGTAGTCGTGCTCGGGCAAGGGCTGCAGGTGCTCCTCCAGCTGCTCCCGGGTGAGGCTGGGCGGCAGCCGCCGGATCACCACCTGCAGCACGGCCCGGCGTTACGGCAGCGCCGAGGGCCGCCCCCCTTTCTCTTTCTCTTCCTCTCCCCGTTCATCTTCCACCCCCTCCCCGCCGCGGCTCCAGCTCCCCCCGCCGCCGCGCCGTGCCTCCCTCGGGCCGGGCCGCACCTTGCTCAGCGTCTCCTTCTTGTCCTTGGGCCGCTCCAGCCGCTCGAGCTCGGCGGTGCCGCCGGTCCTCCCGTCAGAGCCGCCCGCCGCCCCCGAGCCGGCTCCCGGCCCGGCAGGGGCCCCGCGCCGCTCCTTGGGCCTGGCGTTCTCCTTGTCCTCCTTCATCCCGGGCCGCGGGGCTGCGCCGCGCACCCCAATGCGCCCATTGGCCGCGCGCCTCTCGCGGCTGCGCCTTAGCGGGCCGCCAGCCGCGCCCTCGGCCGAGGCCTCTTCGCCCCCGCGCGGCCTGGAAGGCTACGACTTCCGGCGTGCCCCGCGCGGAGTGGAAAACTACAACTTCCGTCGTGCCCCGCGCGGCCAGGAGGTCCGCAGCTCCCTGCGCGGGGCGTGCTGGGTGTGCCCTCAGCCGAGCTGGAAGCGGGGACGGTGCCGGCGGTAGCGGCGCGATGTGGTACGAGATTCTGCCTGGCATGGCCATCATGGGCGTCTGCCTCTGCATCCCCGGTCTCTCCACCATCTTCATGCACCGGTGGTGCAACGGCGGCAAGGTCAGCGCTTCCGGACCGCCTCGACCCTCCGAGGCTCTCGGGCCGCGGCCTGCCTCCCGACCCCTTTCCCTTCGCCTCCCGCTTTGCGCTCTCCCCGTGCCGCTCCGTAACGCGCAGCTCCGTGTGCCCGCAGGAGAAGAGGATTGCCCGCAATCCGTACCAATGGACGCTGATGGAAAGGGACCGGAGAGTGTCGGGGGTCAACAAGTACTACGTGTCCAAGGCAGGTGCTGGGCAGGGCCGTGCGCACTGAGCTCCGTGCTGGACACGGGGTGCTGCTGGGACAAGGGTTCTGTGATGGTTTGGGTGTGTGAGGAACGGGGGTTGAAAAGTGGCACGTTGAGCTGTGCCTTCTGCCCAGCAGACACAGTCAGGGGACAAGAGCTGTGTGTGTACTGCTGCTACTTGTTCACTCTTTCTTTTTCAGGGTCTGGAGAACATAGACTAAGGCAGCACACCTCAAAAGAAGCCACAGATCTGTATACAACAAACTAGGTTTCTAATAAATATATACGTGTATTTACCCATTGTATCTGTGTTGCTGTAAGCTTTGGATGGAATTAATTTCCTCTGGAAAAGGGAAATTGCAAGATGTCAGATGTGGAAGTGAAATGCAGATCTTGTGTCACTTGTTGCAGATGAAAACAAATGATATTACATGGCACTCATAAGAGAGAAGCTAGAATATATTTATTTACATAATGTAGATATAACATAGTGATTTAACAGCAACTTCTCAAGATTTGGGATAAGTGGATACATTTGATTATTTACTGCATAGAGGGTAGGGTAGACACATAGGAGGCCCCCCCATTGAGTCACAAGGTTCAGAGTGGACACCCTTCTTAAACTTGATCAATGAAGGTAAAGAACCCAAGCACAGCTGGATCCACTCTTAGTCCTAGATTTGGTCAACAGTTTACGTCTAAAGGATTACATGTGCACACTCAATATAGTCTTAGTGAAGCTAGTAGAGCTTTCAACCAATATAAGATGTAATCTTAGCAAGGCTAACAGAGCCTAAAACACACTATTAGTCACTTACCAAGGATGTGTATCAGCATGCTGTCTTGACATCAAGTATGAGATCTTTCACAGGCATAACCTCAATGGGATTCCCTACTCACGGGAAGATCCTGTTGTGCAGCCAGCTGCTGTGCAGGAGAGCTCAAGGTAGGCTTTTGGGCTGACTCCCTGTTTATGGGGTATGATTGACTCATAGCTGCCAGTTTGCTTTTTAGGAGCCTGCTCAATTGGTCTTCAGCTGTTGAACAAGGTGTCTGCTATCAGCTCTTTCAGGCCCCCGAGTCTGAGGCAGATTTGTGGTTGTTAATCTAGCTTAGCAAAAGCATTATCAGTACTGTTGCTCATTGTCCATTGGCCTTGTCTGTAAGGTCAGCTCTGAGGAGGCAGTTGGGGGAAGGAAGGCCGTGGGTGGCAGGGAGCAATCTGTTACATCACCACACTGAATGGAGTGTTTCACTGTGAGGCACAGGTGTGAACAACCAGAAACAATCAGATATTGAACAAGGCACAGTCACATGAACTAGAAATTTCTGAAGTCGCTGTGGCTGGAAAATTAAGCCTTAGCTACACAAAGGCTACAGAAATAGCACCAGGCTGGCAACAAACACCCCTTATATTGAGGATACCCAGCACTAGAAATTGTGTTAACTGTAGCTAAGTCTGTTTCTCCGTTCTTCAGAAGTATTTTGGTAATGCAGTTTCCTTTATTTGCTTGTAGCCACACTGAAAAACAACAAATATTGTGGGAATAGAAAATACACGGATGTAAGCAGAGTTTCTGAATTTACACCAGCATAAATGACAGCAAGCTTACACTCAAATTTGCATCTGAATTCCTGCAAGGGGCGGTTGGGATGTGACTGAAGAGTTTCTCAGTCCTTCTGAGCAATACATCCCTCATGGTTTGTGCCCCTGAGCAGGGCCAGAAGCACCTGATGCTTCTATGGGGGCGCTCTGTGCTCGGGCTCTACAAGAAGGTGGCTATGGTTAAGTCAGGCCTCCCAGCTGCTCAGGCTTCCTAAATACTGCCAGCCTTGCATTTTGTCAAAGCTGCCTGTTTGTTCCTGTGGGAAACCCCCCCCGTCATGGAAGAGTGGCTGCTGGGGATTTTGCACCCTGCGTTTTATGAAAACGTCTGAAGCTTTTTCCATCAGCAGCCCTCAGGCTCTGCGGAGCTGTGTGCCAAGGAAGCTCTGTGCAGCAGGCTGTGTTTGCAGAGCTGCAGGCGGTTCCGTTCCCAAAATGTCCTTGGGCGGACTGTTGGCTCGTGGGTTGCCATGCCAACAGAACACAGAGAGCAGCGGTGGAGCTCCTCAGGCACTGCCAGCCACCACCTAACTGCGCTCCCCCAGTCCTCCCCCAGTCTGGGAAGGGCATTTCCAAGGTGACAGCTTCTTTTTCCAGAGGTCAAAACAATGGACAATGAAAACGAAAGTGCTGCCACTGAGAAGGTAGCACACACGATTGTGAAAAAGGCAATACATACTGCGCAGGAATATTATCTAAATAATGTGCAGGAAGAAGAAGGTAAGGAGCTTGCTCTATTTGCCACGTCTTACCGTGTGTCAGAGCTTTCCCAGAAGGATTTTCACAGCATTTTATCCTTTTCAGAAGCTGAATACGCCGTCAGAAATATTCAGTGGACAACATGTGAAGACTTCTCAGTGGAGAGGGGACAGCAGCAAATCGAAGAATACATTTCCGTGAGTGACAATCCCAACCACCCAGTTAGACTGTGCCCTCTCACTGCTGAACAGTGTGAAAAATTAAATAAAAGCACCCCAGTTCCTTTTAGCACCTCCCTTTGGTTACGTCTGCTAGACAGAGCGTGCTCTGGTTGTTCAGCAGACATGGGAGCTTCACAAGAGCTGGCTTCACTGCTCGGAGTTTCTCTGGGAAGAAGATCTGCAGTACAGCAAGAAGTACCACTATAGAGTTCTCTGGAGCATCCCAACACGCAGAAAACCCATCCCACTAGCAACAGCAAGCACCTATTTTGTGATAGAGATCTCAAAAATCAAACCTGCCGTAAGTATTCAAAAGTGGCACACAGCAATCCTTTAAGGCACAGCAGCCAAACACCAGCTTTCTTTACCTTGAACGAGAGGAAGCAGTAATTTCAACAGTTCTAGCCTCTAACAACAGATCTTTGGAGTTAAAGTTTGTAACAACGCTCCAAAAGGACTTTTATCTTCCAGACCATATTTAATATTTTTGCCTTGGTATCATATTATGTTATATTCTGGAAAAGGCTTGAGAAAACTAATTTGTAAAGCATAATATTTTATAGCTATTTCCTCCTGTTTACTTACTCCTTTAAGTTTCCATTGCACTTCTTACTGAAATTCTGTAATTGATCACATTATGTACGCTTCCACAGCTCAGTATTCACCTGTACGATGGTATTTTGTGACTCAAGACCAAACTGAACCTGCACAGTGGAGGCTTTTATGTCCCCTGTTGTCGTGCTGTACCGTAGCCTTTCTAGCTGGTGGTTATGAACCCCCAAGCAGCAACCCAGAAATCACTGCCACTGGTCACAGATCTTATCCTAGCACAGAATTAACATTGGAATTTCTGAGTCATTCCCTTATGAAGAGAAAATTTAGAGGCCACAAATCAAAATTTGAAATGGTGCTCATCAGTATCAGAAATGTTGCACGGAGTTGTTTTTGAAGGGATAGATTTTAGTTCTCATCTAATCAAAACATTTCTTTTTTTGGTCCTGTAGCTCATATGTGAACTTCACCCTGTCTCTCCTCTCTTGCAGACCCTGCCTGTGGAGGTATTCTTCTTTCTGGAGTCCAGCAGGCTGATTCACAGGTACGCAGCATTGCTTCTCTATCACTGCCATGACTGGGGGGTTCTAGCAAGCTGTTCCTTGCCAAAACAAGCAAGAAGCCTGGTGTAAATGAGAAATTCATACTAATATCAGAGAGGCAGAGGAAGATGTCAACATTTTGTTAAGTAAAACTAAAAGACCCTGCCTTCACTCTACCACAAGTGTGAGCAGCCACACCTGCATTCTACATAATGAGTTTTTAATAGCTTTGTGCAGTTCCAGCAAGCATTAATTTTTGAAGCACATAGGCATTTTTCTTGCTATTTGCCCTTTTTACTCTCTCCTCCAGACCAGAGCACTGTCGATTTAGAGAAAAGTGGTTGAAGGACATCATTGAAAATAAAATCATACTCAGAGAAAGGCTTAAATTACCATGAACAGCTCCAACTCTGTTGGTATTTTGAGGAGAATCAACGTGATGAAGGAAAAAAGGTTATTTCTTCTTAACTTGTGGATTAACTTGTAGGTATGCAAGCAGAATTAAATCAATGTTAAACTATGGGCTGAACTGGCTGCTGGTTTTACACGACAGTCCTTTGCAAATATGGGTGAGTGCAGCAGGTCAGACAGAACCAGGCTCCCGAGTGCAGACAGGAAGAAGCAGCTAGGCTGGGTTTGCCATTTGTGAGTGCCAGACCTGCAGAACTCTAGGGCAAAAAGAAGTTACAGGACTTATCAGGGCAAGGAAGCGGTTGGATGGTCGCAGCCAGAAGGTTGTGATCAATGGCTTTATGTTCAGGTGGAGGCCATGATGAATGGTGTCCTCCAGGGGTCCATCTTGGGACCAGTGCTTCTCAACATCTTTATCAATGACATGGATGATGAGATTAGCTGATGAGAGAGTGGTGCAGCTGACATGACAGAAGGAAGGGATGCCATCTAGAAGGACCTGGACAGGCTTGAAAAGTGGGCCCATGAGAAGTTCATAAAGTTCAACAAGGCCAAGAACGAGGTGTTGCAATTCCATCAGGGCAATCCCAGCTATGTACATGGTCTAGGAGAACACATTGAGAGGGTGGAGAAGGACTTGGGGATTCTAGTGGACAAAAAAATAGCTGGACATGAGCCATCAGCATGGTCTTGCAGCCTGCAAGGCTAACAGTGTAAACAGTGTACTGGGCTGCATCAACAAAGGGGTGGCAACAAGATGAGGAACAGGATTGTTGTCTTCTGCTCTGCCCCCACAAGGCCCCACCTGGAGTACTGCCCAGGGCCCCAGCACAAGAAGGATGCAAAGCTGTTATACTGGGTCCAGAGGAGGCCATGAAGATGCTCATAGGGCTGGAGCACCTCTCCTCTAAAGAAAGGCTGAGGGGAGCTGGACTTGTTTAGCCTGGAGAAGAAAGAGCTTCTTTGTGGCCTTTCAGTACTGATGGGGCCTATTGAAAATATGAGGACAGACTCTTTGTCAAGGAATCTTCCCGGAGGCCGTGGCTTTGAATTCAGAGAGGAGAGATTAGGTTAGATACTTGGAGGAAATTCTTTGCTCAGAGAGTGCTGAGGCCCCAGCCCTGCTGCCCGGAGCTGTGGGCGCTCATCCCTGGAGGTGCCCAAGGTCAGGCTGGATGGGCCTTGGGCAGCCTGAGCTGGGGGGAGTCGGGACTTCAAGGTCTCTTCCAACCCAAGCCATTCTGCGATTCTATTATTTTCCTTACACAAACATTCAAGTCATCTCCGCTGCCAAAACTACAGCACAGACACAAGAAGAAAAAAAATACCCTCAAGAATACAGTCTGTTTTTAAATACATTTCAGAAAAAATACCTCCCTTCTTTTTGGAAATACACAGTTGAATCAAAGGTAGCCACCATCAGCAGCCTTCTGAGTACAGCTTTAAAAGAGCCATGCCATGCTATTGAAACAGGCCAAATGAAAATAACACAGAAGTTAAAATAAGGCTTTAATCTAGAACATTTCCATAGACAAAATAAAATAAAATAAATTGAAAGATACTTCCTTGTTACCACCTGTCTACAACCAGGTTCCAACCACTGCACCCCACTGCTCCAGTACCTATGTATAACATAGTAGAAATAGAAGCAAGCAACTTACTTGTTTACCACAGGCTTTGGTAGAATCCAGACCAGACCTCGCTACTACTGTTACTGTCATCTTACACCCCAGTTGCAGTCTGCTTCCTTTAAAGTAACCGAAGGTAATCTATATTAAATTACAAACCTATTTCTATTTACAAGTGTACTTGGAATCACAAAACAAACTCAACGTTCTTTTGATTAAAAAAAAACAAACCTAAAACTCATGAAAAATACATAAACAGGAATTTAGGGATTCCTTAATTTTCATAACCATCAGTAGCAGCTTGCTTGTGATGGCCAATCTACTCTCATTAACGAGAAAAAGTGCAAAACTGCACTTATCAGCATCAGCAGCATGTCCCACAGCTCTCCCATGGAATCCACCTGCTCGTCCAATTCCAAATGAGCGCAGAACTTCACTGCCTCCAACCTTCCTTGCCTGTTCCTTCCCTATAATCTTTCAATTTACAGGTATTCCTTGCAGGTGGTGAGCAAATCATCCAAGAAAATGTGATGGAAGTAATCCTGTTTTCTTGATACAAATCACCAGTGCCTGGGGCTGGTCCTGTTGGGTGAGAGGCACTGCAGCACTTGCAGCTTTTATCAAATCACGGCTGGAACAGGTCAGCTGCTGCTTGACAGCATCTATGGCATACAGTTCAAATGGGGAATTATTTTTCTTCTTTGCCCTTAGTCTTTCTGTAGACCATCTCTCGAAAGCTTGCAAGGATCTTATTCTCTCTTTTTCTCCTCTCTTCCTGGTTGAAGGATGCCAGAGCTCTCTTTTCATCTGCACTGTAAATTTGGTTCTCCTTGCGCAGACGCACAGCTTCCATCCGACGATGTCTGTGGGGGAAAATATTGCATACATAAGCACAGGCAGAAGGATGTAATGCCCCATCACAGCCTCCATCCATTAACTAACCTGAACGTTTTGAGGGTTAATAAACAAAGACACCTAAACCTGAGAACCCAAACTGCACAGAGACCTCCAAGGAATGAGCATGGCTGAGCTGACTTCTGAGGGTGTCTGCTCTCAGGCAGTGAGCAGGAAGTCCTTCACGATCCCAGGGTGTCAGGGTGCCAGCTTGCCAAAATACAAATGAACCTCCTTTTGTGCTGGTAGAAAAAGAAGGTATGGCAAACCTCCCACACTGATTTGTCTCACACCGAAGAGGCAGCGCACAACCTCTGCTGTCCAAACACACAACCCTGAAGCCATCAGAGACAAGCATCTAATTTGAAATAAAGAGAATTAGAAGCACACTATCTGGAAATAATTGTTATTCTACAGGAACAAGTGACCTTAAGAAGCTATGCATCTGTATGTAGCAGTAGAGTTCAGCATACGTCCCTGGAAGCACGCGCAGAGCACGCGCTCTTCAGAGCTTTCAGCTAGAGCCTGGAAACAGCTTTTCAGCAGGCCAACAAAGAAAGCAGCTTTGGAAAACGTTACTGAAACATCAGCATCACCACAAACATACCTGCTGCCACTCATTACGTAACCAGAGCTCTCAAACGAAGCAATTTCTTCACTGGTCAAACCAATCTCCCCTCTCCGAGGTATGCGTTTCCCTGCTTTTACGTACTCTGCCATTGCTGCACCTTCACCTGGCAACAGGGCATGCCCATAGCTGAAGAAATAAGCAAAGAGATAAACAGCAGGGATTTTAATCAGTCTCAACTAGAGGGATTCTGAGCTAAACATCCAGCTTCCCTAATCATTACTGGCTCCAGCAACATTTTAAGGATTTTCCCAATCTTTCCCAAGTCTGTTCTCATTTCATCCTTAAGGCTAATCTTAGCAAGAACACTTTAAGTAATCAATTTAATAAGTTCTGGTTAAATAGTAATAAAGGCTGCATAAAGTCACAAGACTGCAGAGCATTAGAGTAAAGGCACATTACTGAAGTAAAGATGAATTAATTTTCTACGAATCCAGGCTACAATACATAAAACAGACTTTTCTACTTGAACTCAGGTCGGAGGAAAGACAAGCACCATTACCACTTCTGCCTTAGCTTCTGTTACTGCACCCCTCTCCGATATAAGTCATTCTGCAGTCTTTTTGAGCAGATATCTTCACTCTAGATCTACTTGATTTGATCGAGGTACCATTTAAGTACTCACTTCAAAGGCCGGTCATCTTGAGACGCGTGTGTTTTGGGAGCTTCTGGTCCAATCAAGCTATCGGCTTCTGTATTTTCTGCAATGATCAAACAGCAAAGCAGATGAACACTGTGCCTGTTCTTTGTTATCAGAACAGTCAACAGGTCAGCAAACACTGAACAACAACAACAAAAAAAAAGCATGAGAAGAACACCAAGAAGTTTCAAGACAAATTTACGGAACCTACTTGATCTCTCAATCCAGAGATCTTCCCCTTGAAGCGTTGCATCATCAGAATCTTCACTGCTTGAATCACTGGATTCCTTCCGGCTCTTTTTATTTTTCTTTTTTTTATACTTCTTCCTGCAATAAAGTCAAAGTTATCCACCAAAATTTAAGATGAAAGAACTGGTACTCACACTGCAGTTATGAGTTTCTCAAGGTACCTTCCACCAAGGACAGTCTGCATTTATATTGTCTGAAAACAACTGATAGTTAAAGACAACATATCCACTGTTATGCCTTTCATACAACACTAGAAAGTGCCTCCCTGTGTTTCAAGGATCTCTCTGTGCTCTATGATTCTGTACATTTGAAGCCAGTCAGATTATGATTGTCCAACAGCATTTATGGCTCTCATTACAGGAGTGCTCAGCCTCTCTCAGTTCCTGCTAAGACAGTGCTTAAAGGCAGATGCAATTACATTCAACAGCCTGGAAACTTACTTCCTGTGCTTCCTTTTCTTCTTTTTGCTTTTCTTTTTATCTTCGTCTGAAAACAAACAAACAAAAAAAAGGAAGATCAAAAAAAGTACCCTGTGAATAAATAACTGCTTCTGCCTCAATGCCTCAGCACACATCTCAGGCATGATTTCTTTTTTCTTACCACTGGAGCTGTGGTCGGACTCGGACTCGCTGTCACTGTCCTCAGAATGTTTTCTGTGTTTTCGTTTGGAAGCCTTTCGCTTTTTCTTCTTTCTTTTCTTCTTCTTTTTCCTTTTTTCCTCTGGCATGTTTTCAAAAGATAATGTTAGAGAAAAATGAAGACTTAGTTCCATATATACATCTGGACTTTCCCAAAGCAAGGGGGCCTATCACTCACTTCAACCAAAGCCAGTGAACTTCCTGACAGCAACAGCAGCAGATTCTGGGTAGCTACTGGTTATCAAAATGAGTTGTACAAACAAAGCCAAATACCTTCTGAGCTGGAATCCGAAGAGCTACTCTTGGATTTTGCCTCTTCGTCTTCTACTGGTGTATGCTCATCAGAACTGAAGAAAAATAAGTTTGCTTTTTAAAATCTATTTTGTAGTATTTAGTAACTAAAGATCAAGTGCACACATACGCTGAAACACA